AAATTTAAATGACCTTTTTCGCAAAAACTACGGCTTCAGGATTCCGGTGAGTAGTGGACGGCTTTTCTGGAGAACTAGAAGAAGCTTTCGCTGCTGTAACAAGAGATTCCGTCGAAGAAACTACTGATTCACCAGGAGGAGAAGGGCTACTAGGAGGCGGAGGAGAGCTGGAAGGTCGTCTATCGCTATTCATCTGCAATATACTAATAAGTAGTGAAAAACTAATGATAATAACTGGGTAATGAAAAATTTTTGAAAAACGTTTTAAAAAAAAAAGGATATCTAACTTTAATTATTATGCGATTCGGCCCATGAGTTTTCAACGTCACTGGTATAAGCGAGTCCGACTCTTCATCGGTCACTATAAAGTATAAACTACAAATGAAATAAATTTACAGTAAAGTTTTAGCCCACGACTAATCAGTGTCTCAAAAACCCAAAATTTAAAGATGCGAAACAACCTAAATCCCAACCATTCCGTCTAGCGACACTCGGGAATATCGGCTCCGCACCACTCTTCCGCATTGGCGTACTTTCGTCATCTACTTTTCTAATATGGGTTGTCCCAGGTCCGCCAAAAGTAGTGCCCTCCAGATCAAGAACTTTACCCGCTCCATTTGCGGCACCATCTCGCTTCTCCCAATTCTCAGTTGGCGAGCTCAACTAAAACAAGTACTTAACGACTTAAAATCTTCTACAAACTGTAATCACATATAGAACAGGAAACGAAAGAATTAAGCCAAGAAACAGACTACTTAACCAACTTAATAAGGTTCTTTACAGCTAATTTTAAGAAAAGTGAACTGCGTAAATCAAAAATCAACTCTTTTGAAAAACAGGTAGACCAAACGAAGCAAGAAAATAAAGACTATTTATGGTTGTCTAATGATTACCTCAGGCTCTTCATCTTCTAAACAATACTCATCTGCTTCCGACTTGCGTTCCCTTCTCCACTGCGATGAAGATTTTGATTCTGATAAAGAAACTGGCTCCTCTTTATAGCTCTCATGATCTTGTATCTGCAAACAAGTATCTTATAAACGACGAGTAGAACAAAAAAGATTCAGATACACTTTAGTTTAATACAAATGTTCTGCTAATCATAAAAATTTTATTAACATAGTATTTTCGCAAACACCCTATTATTGTGGCAACACCTCACAAACCTGATCATATTTCATGCGAAGACTAGTGAAAGTGTTCACATAAGCAACCCCTTCAAACTTGTGCCATAATCTATCCACAACATATGCTATCAACATCTTCACATCTTCCTGAAAAAAAATTGGTAAATATTTGCACGTGAGTGCCACAAGCGAAGCTTGAAATTAAGCATCACCTAAGTTAACTTCACATGAAACTTATAACTAAAATAAAAAGCTAACCGCTTGAATGTATTCGAAAAGCTCGATAATTGCGGAGTTGAGCAAATTGTACCGGTGGCCATTTTCGCAAAAGCAGTCTGCTATAGGAGCCATTACATTTTCCCGAACAATGTAACGAAAATAATATTCATCTTTCAACTGCACCACCTTTCGAAATAATCGCAAAGCAGCTAAAAAAAGTTAGAATCTCCAACATCTAAACAGATACGAACATAAAAGAGTCCAATGAACTCGCTCAACATAATACCTGGATAACGACATATAAAAAAATGAAATTGAAATCAAGAAATAAAAAAGTACTCAATCGCTCTAAGCTAAAAGAAAAACGCACGCTGTCTACCGCATTAACAACAATCAAACACTTAGATTGAGAACCATAAAAACCTGCTTACTTAAGGCTAGGAAGTGATGTCTACTACGTAACAATACAAGAACACGATTCAAAAGCCTGCTGCTAATACAATAGTTCCTCATATGCGTCGTATGATGTTCAAAACAAAAACAGAGCAAATCAATTACCATTGCCTGTTTATTTGCCATATGATAGTCGTCTACAAAATGAAAAATTAGAAATATAAAATATAAAAATTAATAATAAAACCGTTAATCATTCCTGTCAATACGTAACTGTATTTTCTAAAATATGATCTTGACTAGGCAAAAAACCGAACACTTAAAAAAATAAGTTCCAGCGAAATTCGCGGTTAGAGAAACCTACCTCTCTTTAAGTGTCCACCCTTTGTGTTTTGAGTTAGAGGCCTGCATAATGTTCCCATTGAACGCCGGTAAAACAGAGCCAAGAACTCCTGCCTTTCAGATTTAGCGCTAGGTGTCGCTATCATGTTATCAGGATCAAGTAAAGCTCTCATCACTTGAGCCATTGTGTTAGCAGAAGTGAGCTCAGGATCTTTATCAGAAAGCATATGTTCAATTAACTTATTCAACAGCAGACTTTTCTGGAAAAAATTGATTTTAATACAAGAAGTTTACTGCCTGCTGAAAAAACTTCGCAAAAAAAGACCATAACATGAAATCCTAACATTTTTGGACTCGCTAATGTTTCGCGCTTGCTGTAAGAGATAATCACGTGCAGCCTGAGGGTTGAACTCAACTATCATTACAAATACTTCTATAATTGTAATCCTTGTCTGCAAGTCACTGGACTCAATGCAAGGTTCAATAGTAGCGAGTACGTCGTTTTCCATAAGGGTCTAAAAAACAAGCTGTAGTGGAAAAAAAATTTTTTTTAATTCTTCGACAGTACAAAAACCAAAAAATAAACCCGAAGTAGTTTTTAACTTCTATACTCGATCTTAAAACAGCCTCTTAATAAATGCTAAACCATATCTTCAGTGAAAAAAGTTATTTTAATCACATAAATAACTACCTCCATGGCCCTTCACTATCGGTTTTTACAAAAGCGTACCTATTTGACTTAAAAAACACTTCAACAAGCAAAATGCAAACTTGCAAAAGAAATCAAGGTATCACAAAAAATGTGACAACAAATTCTATTCTCAGATTCCTTTGAAAGAAATATTTGATAAAGAAAGTATTCGAAACGAAAAACGTAAATAACAAAAAATAATATTCACTAAAACATTTCAAAAACCTTACTTTATAAAAAGATTCGCGGCTCGGCTGGCCACTCTGCTGCAGCGAGGAAGAGAATGAACAAAATTCCTTCAAGAACATTGCCAGGTCTTTCCGTCGCTCTAAACTAATCGACCGATCTTTCAATTGGTCGAAAAGGTCTTTCAAGAGTTGTTTGTCCTCCTATAAAAAAAAAAAAAAAAAAAAAA